TTCTGACTGGGGCTTCTCTTTTATCAGCCACTCAGATATGTGAATCCTTGGACACTTTTGATTCATTGAATCTGCGAATGGTTAACTGCACAAGGTCGTCAGGATAGCACAGCTTGTGAAAAAACTTCCACATAGACGAGAGTTGAAATACATAGTTAAGCATGGTGTTCAGCAGTGACCGTTTGTATCTGGCATCAACGTGGCTGTGGTAGTGTAGCAAAAGCCCTTTGTCTGTCGGTTTTCTGTAGACCGTGGTGTCTAGGCGGCAACCATTCCTGATATCCATTCTGAGAAAGGGAAGCCTGCCATTTTCTTTGAGCTCCAACCTCTTCAAGTCGCCTATCTTCCACAAACGCTTTGTAGATGATACACTTAGCGCAATGCCGGATCCGGAACCAGCCTCAGAATTTCTGGAGACATTAAACAAGAGTCATCCCTCTATCGATTTTAAAATGGAGCTCACTTGAAATGACCTCGAAGAGGTCGAAGCGTTGTGACTTTTTAGCGCTAGTTTTTATTTCAAAATTGATTCCTAAGAAACTACTAATTATTGACTTGATTTGCTTTTGAGGTGTGTCAGAAATTTGAAGCCGCTCTGTGTGAATAGAAATTGTTCTAGAACCTGTTAGACACACAGTAGAGATATAATAAATATCTTACTAACCTTGTTTTCTTGGTTCGTACTGTAAGGTACAGATCCTCGTTTTTCCCTTTCGATTTATTGCCTAAGTGCTAATCGCATAAGCCATAGAAAAAACTAAGGGAAAAAACTTGGTCTGTAACTTAAAGTACGGCCCTCGAACTCAGTTAGTAAGAGGTATTTATGGCCCACTGGTGGTGTTCTACTCTATATGTACAGTGATCTACTGGTTAGCACATTAGACTTGAGTGTTGAACCAAAACATATGTTGTGGCATTGTTTCTGAAGCAAACACTTCACCCACATATACATGTATTACCTCTCTTACCCTGGGGCAATGATGGATTTCTCATAAATTGCTCTGAAAATCTGACAAAATGTTAAGGATAAGTAGCCTGTACTGGGCTAACAATCCATCCAGGAGAAGAACTACCAAAGCTACCATTAGGGTTGAATGCTGGCAGTGATTTGTAAAATTGGAATGCACTCTTCTTTGCCTTATTCGAAGTTTTTTTTGTTTGTTCCAGCGCACCTGCTATCTGGCAGTAAACCCACAAAAAGAGGTAAGTAAAAGGCCACAACCACACCTCAAGAATTTCATGAATTGTTATAAAAGAAATTTTACAATAAGATTTTCTGTGGTATTTACTGATGTAATTAATAGTAGATATTGTGAAAATTTACAGGAGTCACTAGAAGGAGAAAGAATGCAGTATGTACTACCTGATGGAAGTATGCTGGAGGTAAAATGCCACATTGGTGATCTTTTAATTAATAACTGTTGTAAAATTCTGAACCCAAACTTATGAACGTAATATAGTAACACCAGAAATCCATTAATAAACATTTTTTTCAGTACCCCTATTTAACTTCTCCAACAATACCTTGAATAACATGTACATGTGCTCAATTACGATGCCTGGTAACCAGTTCAGTGCAAATACCAGCTTAAAACCTTGGTCAACCCAATTTTCATGAAGAAATGAAGATGGAGGTTATGTTGAGACAACTATCAGGTTGCAACAATGTTGTCTTTCTTCTTTACTTAGGTTGGACCAGCACGTTTCAGAGCACCAGAACTTCTGTTTAGACCTGACCTTGTTGGTGAGGAATGTGAAGGAATTCACGAGGTAAAAAAATATACTTTTTATGATACACCTCGTCCTAGTTCAGTTATGTGTTTTCTTTTTTTCTTTCTTCTTATCTGTGTAGTAGTTAACTTGCAGGAGCTGCTGGCATTTCAGCTGTTGGTTTCAACATGCTGTGGTGTTAAACAAAGAAAAACCCAGCTGCGGTTTTTATTTTCTTTGTATCTAGGTTCTGGCATTTGCTATTCAAAAATCAGACATGGATCTTAGACGAATTCTTTACTCAAACATTGTGCTCTCTGGTGGCTCTACTTTATTCAAAGGTGATGGCAGTGTTTTTTTTTTTATTATTGCTGTGATTACTTAGTATCTGTGCTCTTCATCTTGTCTTTTAAAAACAATTTTGTTCTTTTTTTTTGCAGGATTTGGAGATCGGTTACTGGGTGAAGTAAAGAAAATAGCACCAAAAGACATCAAAATTAGAGTAAGAGTTTTTTTTTTTTATCTCACCTCCATTTTAAAGTACTACGTGCACCCTAAAGATAGATTTTGAATGATTCTCAATGTGCCTTGCAAAATTTTTTGCCAGTTTTTCATTAGATTATGAAATATGCTAGTCATTTCTATGGTTGTTTCCAACTGGATATGTGGGTGATGTGGTATAACAAGAGAATGCTCTTTTTCTTCTTAGATTTCTGCTCCTCCAGAGAGACTTTACTCAACATGGTTTGGGTAAGTTTACTCTGTATCTGTATGTCCGCCTATCCATGGATTCATCAGGGATTGGAAAAATATTGTGTGAAAGGCTTATGTACAAACATAAAGTAAAAATGAGTAAAAAGCATAAGAATGGAAAGTATGTAGAATATATTGCACTGGTTATGTACTCCAGTTTTCTTTTCTAATTGGCTTATTGCAAATATTCCTGTTTGCAGCATTTGGTACTTGTTAGAGAGACAGTGCCTGAGCTGGTTAATGAAAGTTTTTTTTTCCTAATTTGTGAAATATTAACCTCTTACTAAGCAATCATGAGGGCAGTACTGGGGAATATCCGCTCAAAGTCATGGCAGTACGGACCAAGTGCAGTAAGGTCCGTACAAAAAAGGCAAAGGCCTTGCCATTTTTAGGTTGAATATTAGATTTATTTAATAATTTTTATTTTTATAACTCTTTGATGATGCAACACAGGTTCTGATTAAGGTTGTCTGTTTTTCAGGGGCTCTATTTTAGCATCTCTAGACACATTCAAGAAGATGTGGGTTTCCAAAAAAGAATATGACGATGAGGGATCAAGAGCCATTCATCGGAAGACCTTCTAACTTATCATAGACTGTTCTCAATTGTTTAAATTATATAGATCAGCTAGATAAAGTCAAACATCTTGTTATTGTACATATGGGCTCTCATGTCGTAGTAAGACTTGAAATATCATTATGACCGTCAAGCCAATTGTTGGCGTTAACAAATTGACCTTGCTATCCCCATGCAGCATTGAAAAGAACTGTAAATCCTCTTTACTTTTTTAACATATTCAGTCAAACAGGTCCTGAGATGGGCAGGTTGGTCAATCTCAGGACTTTGGCTTTTAAAAGTTAAGCTCTTCCAATTTAAACTACAGAGAACATACTAGAGACAGTAAGGAGAATTTTAATGTTGATATTGGGTCTTAGCTGTTGATATGGAGACTCACTCATTGGAGAAATACATAGAGTGGATATATATGTGAGGGTCTTATTTTGTGTCATTGAGCTTTCTAAAATATTGCTGGTGTTACATAAACTTTGGATTAGAAGGGATATGGAATTTTTAGTAGAATGTTTGGCATTTTGTACAAGATTGAGGCTTGTTGCATATATAAGAGAGATGGAAATCGTTCAGATGCTGTGGTTACATTGTAAAGTTACAATGCTTTCTGAAATATTATTGTCCAGCCCGAGTCAGCAATACTTTTAATTATTTGCGTTGAATGGGTTACATGATATTTGAAGGGAATGAGCAAGTACTCATGGAAATAATAGCATGTAGCACTTTACAACTTTTCTAGGACAAAATCAAGTTCTAACATCTTAGCTAATAAGTGTGGTTTGGACCTGTCTAGGTAGACAGGGAATATTTCCATCACATCACTAATTGACTGGAACCGAAAACTGTGCTGGTAAAGCCTCTGCAGCCAACGACGGGAGTAACTAAAATTACTTGCAGACTTTGAAGAGATGTGAAATGTAAAGATTGAAAGAGAGCAAAATTCTTCTTGCAACTATCCTCAGCTTCTGATCTTGAACTAGTAATATATGGTAACTCCCTCCAATGGAGCCTGCATTTCACTCAGTTACTTAATTATGCCTTAATTTGGATACCCCTCTTAGAGGGGACACCCCTCCTGAGAGTAAAAGGGCTAACCCCTCAGATGGAAGCGCCATCAAAGAGTACCTTGTTTTATGGTGGACACCTTTTCTGTACCCCCCCCCCCCCCCCCCCCCCCCCCAGTTCCTATCAATGTGGTTACAAG